CACCTAAAACGTAAGCGAATTTGCAAGTTTTTGAGTTATTTTTATTTTTCGTGCTCAGGCTGACGTAAGTAACCGGAAGTGAAATTTCACCTCCTTAGCAACGCGCGCGAGCGCGTGCATAAATCGGTTAATGGACCCATAAAGTGAGAGGATGCGAAGAAACAAAACTACATGATATAGGTGATAATCTCCAATTTACGCGCCGTTTACGTAAAGATTTGTCAACGCGCAAGCAACACGTGCGACGCGATCGTGGGAGGACCAAAATTGGCATCTGTTAACGATCTTAAGGGCCAATTAACCGATTTATGCGCGCGCTCGCGCGCGTTGCTAAGGAGGTGAAATTTCACTTCCGGTTACTTACGCCAGCCTGTGCGCGGAAAATAAAAACAACTCAATAACTTCCAAATTCGCTAACATTTTAGATGTTTTTCTTTGTGTTTCACAAAATGCAAAGTAAAAAAAGTACAAGCAGAGACAAAATAAGAAGAAGATAGGAAAACAAGAGCAATAGAAAGAGAAAAACTAACTCCGTGTGGCTTTGTTTGATCTTACCGAAGTTGGCTGACAGTGTAAATTGCGCACTCGCTGATAAGGTAACTTTCAATATATATCGGGTGCACTTCCGGTTTCTTTAAATGCTAAAGGAAAACGCGGTCTTTCATTAAATCCAGCCTTTCTCGACGGATTTCGATCAAAGCCAACGTTTGAAAGACAGCTATTCATTCCTTTTTCAAAAATCATGCTTTTTTCAGAAAATTACGAATTTTTTAATATTTTGAAATTCTCTCAAAATCTGACCTTTTNTACAAGCAAACACAAAATAAGAGAAAGACAGAAAAACAAGAGCAATAGACAGAGAAAAACTAACTCCATGCGGCTTTCTTTGATCTTACGGAAGTGCGATGGTAGTGTACATTAAGCACGCGCTGATAGGGTAACTTCCAATATACATTGGGTGCACTTCTGGTTTCTTTAAATGCTAAAGGAAGCGCAGTTTTTCATTCAATCAAGCCTTTTTTGACGGATTTCGATCAAAGCCAACGTTGGAAAGATAGCTACGCATTCCTTTTTCAAAATCATGCTTTTTTCAGAAAATTACGAATTTTTTAATATTTTGAAATTCTCTCAAAATCTGACCTTTTAGAAATGAAACAAAATCTATGCATAGCGTAATGAGGATTTAAATTAAAATAGTGAATCAATGAAAAAACTCCCGATAAAGTAATTTGCCTGGGAGCCTTTGTGTTTTTTCGGTATTAGTCACATGACAATGGGCGTGGCCTGATGACGTCATCATTAGTGTTACTAATCATGAAAAAGTTAAAACACATGAAATAACTCTGAACTAACTAGAAATGATGAGGCTCGAAAAGATCAGTTAATGGGCCCTTAATGAAGGTTAGTTTATTCCTGGCTGTAACTAGATTACCATAACTGATCCGATTTAGTGCCTTTGGACGTGTTTTGTTGAAAAGCACTTCTATTCCAATTTGTGTTAGTGTCAAGTTAAAAATAAGAGCCAACGCTCCTAACAGAGGTTCTGTTTTTAATTAGCGTCTTCTCCTTAGCAATCTGGTTTCCAGGGCCTCTCTCTCCTCATTCTTTGCATTCTTCTGGTCTGAGTATAGACAAACTTCATACTAAGGTGCCCCTCCTTCAAACTATTTGTTTGTCATCTCCAAGATTCTGGGAGACATGTGACCAAGCTGTGCCAGGGGCGGATAAAGAGGGAACCTGGAAACAAGGTTGTCTCGTTAGTTCTGAAAATAACTGAAAATAAGCGTTCTGGGCACTAGATGAAATTAATTATTATGGTAGACGGCTTTCACTGAAAAGAAAATGACATTTTAAAGTTATTCCTAAATAAAGAAGTTGTAGGTGACTGTATATATACAGTTCAACAAGACATGTGGAATGGACGGTCTAAGTACACAGACATTTCAAAGACATTTTCGTTTAGACCAATTCTGTCATAGGAGGAAAACAGCAGTCAACACGCAAGTCCATTATCCTATAATGCGTTGCAAACCCATATCTTAGCCTTGTGGAACTGTTTAACAACAATAGGCCACGTTCAATATAGCAATATTTAACATGGCTCTGAGACTTTCTGGACAAACTTCTATATTTGGTGCTGTTTTCTTTGTATTCAAGTCTCTTGGTAATTGAGAGACAAAAGAAGCTTAAAAAATTTACAGTTTTGACCTGAAAGCCTCAGAGCCATGTTAGAATAATGATATATCAAACGTGGCGTATTGTGATTTGTTATTTGTAAAACAATTGTCTCAATCCACCGATGAAAAAGAGGGTAAGAACTAGATTTGACTAGTGCTGAGGGTGACGTGAGCTATGTAAAGAAGGCCTTGTTTCCATTACAAGTTTTTCTCCATTGTTTTAGAAACTAGCTTAAAAAGTGTATAGCAATCTTGGAAATCAATAGGAATACATGTCTTAATTAAAGTTTTGAGTTAATAATTCAGTTTTGTGCTGATTTTTGGGAATTATGCATTATTCTGTGGGATTGACTTAATTGTGTGGTCCTGCGTCTGTGCACCCTGATAGAAGCCCTGTGGTTAAGTCCCCGAATTAGCACCTCGGGCACTTATTTCCAATTTAGGAGAATATGGGGGTGCCTATTCGAGGGTGGTGCTTAATCAAGGTGGGGCACTTAGCAACCTTGAACTGCTGATATCTCGAATCCTTTTCAATTTCCCTTGAAAGTTCAAATTATCAGAAGTAGACGGTATGCTTACTTCAGTAGACGACTGACTTCAGAAGGCCAATAACTAAAATCAATCATTCAGATTGCTCCTGTGGAGGGGGAGGTGGTACTTCCTTATGTGGGCTATATAGGTATGTGCAGCCCCAAAGGGTGTAGTTTTTTAGCCATTTTGGTAATAGATAGGGTATTGTTTTTGGCCATTTTGGCCTCAAGTAAGGTATGGTTTTTGCACTCTAGTCTTGAATTCAGTGTGTTTTTTTAGAAGAAGCTACTTTTTCATCATTATCAATAAGGCCATCATCAAAAACCCTTCACAATGCCTTTAACATTGGTCTCTCCCAGAAATTGTAGGCTGTTAAAGATGCCATTTCATGCATTTTTTT